GGGGGGGGGGGGGGAGGGGGACAAAATATGGCGAAGGGAAAAGGGCGGAAATAAAAGTGAAGGAGAGATGATATGAAGTAATAGTTCGACAGAGCAAGAGAAAAAGCAAAAGTGGGGAGTAAAGGAGGGAGAGGGAAGGAGAGAGGGAAGGAGGGTAAAAGGAGAAAGAGAGAGGAACGAGCGAAGGAAAGAGAGAATGAGAGAGAATAGATTGCGCGAACGAGAGAGGAATAGTTCGCGATAGAGAGAGAGATGATAGGAGAGAGAGAGAGAGAAAGAGAGAGAGAGAGAATATAGATCGCAAGCAAGCGTGAAAAAAGCAGTTCAAGGTGAAAGAGCGAACGGACTGTGCAAAAACGAAGGAAGGATAAAGCGAGATAGGTAAAAAGAGAGAAAGGTAAAACACGCGCGCTCCTAAAAAAGAGAGACAGATGTGAAAAGGAAGGGAAAGGAAGGAAATACAGATGCGCGTGTGCGAATATGAGGAGGACAGAGCATGGTGGAGGGGAAAATAGTGTGCGAGAAAGAAGGAGAGGGTAGAGGGAGAGGTGGGAGGAACCGACCGACGCGCGCGTAGAGTCGCGGCGCGTATTCTCGCGACTATAGTCCTGCGGAAGATCATCGGGAGGACTACACCCCTGCCGCAGTGGCGAACATCAACCCGTAGCGGGTCCGCACATCATCGGGTCGCGCTACTCCGAAAAGACAGCGAGGATGAGTCTTTTACTGGACGAGGAGGAGATCGACGAGTAAGTCCTTGATTATCATCGTTCTGATTAGAAAGAGAGAGAGAGAGAGAGAGAGAGAGAGAGAGAGAGAGAGAGAGAGAGAGAGGGTGAGGAAGAGAGAGAGAAAGAGAGAATGAGAGAGAGTTAGAGAGAGTGAGTGAAAGAGAGAGAGAAAGGAAATCGAAGGTCTGATAACGTGTCATCGCGTTCACAATGTAGCTCCTCAAGTCGCTCTTTCGCGCACACGCTCGTTCGCCGAGGGCGCACGGAAAAGGGCTGGGTCACGAGTCGATCGTAAGGCCTGCCCTTCGCGAGTGTTCCCACAGGATTCGCGTTTTCCGCGCAGAAGGCCGGGATGAATTTTCGACAGGGTTGTCGACGCGCGACCCAAGGATAATACGGAAAAGAACGATTCCATATCTCTTTCCTGTCTGTGTCCTTAATAGCGGAATGTCGCCGGCAATGAAAATGGTCCCGCATTCTCTGGATGATCCTTCGACCACGCAGTGGTCGGAGAACTTTATTGAGCTTCGCGCGCGCATATTCGCGAGTCGGGAAACGCTGCTCTCTCAGCTGCGTCGTGATGTATGGCGCCTCGGGAGATAATAGCGGGGTGCATACAGCGAGCGCGCGAAGCTACACAGTGATCGAAATGAAGCTCTCCCCACCCGAGCCTAGAGTCTCCGTCTGCGAACGACGACGTGTGCGCGATCGAACCGTTTCTCTCATTTCATATGAAAAAATCCGGAGTGTAATTCGTGAACATTCTCTGCAACCTTTTTTCTGAAGCGCTACAGTTTCTCAATGAAAATTATAAGATTTTTCCAAATTTTTTTAACGCTGAAAAAAAACGCTACATAGAATACACATACGTGCATTATATTATTCTATGCTGAAATTTTAAATATTCGTATGCAGGAGGCCAAAGCAATGAAATGTCCCCATGACACGGACTCTTCGGTTATTATAATTATCTAATTTAAAATCAGGTCTTTCAGCGTGGAAACTGATACGTCCACTCGAAATATTATATATATTATAACTCACGAGATATTATAACAACTTTACGCGGTACAGCCATGTCATTTAAACGAAGAAGCGACTAATGGCCAATTGTCCTCCCAGGCGGACATAATAACGGAAATATTAAAATTTCTCTACGCGCGTGTGGATCACCACATCTTCTCTCGACCGCGCTACATTGATTCTCTCCGTCATCGTATCTCCGATATTAATTAAAACGGAGAAACGGGTTTAATTAAAGGGAGAGCTTGCTATGGGAGAGATTAAACAAGCGTATGTAGAACGAGTTACGCAGTGTGTCGGTGGAGCTACTCGAGATTAACACGAATAGCCGATCTGAATGGTAATCCTTCAAGTGCGAAAAGGTTGAGAGAGAGAAATGTCGAGTGAAGTTGAAACTTCGCTGGAAACCCATCGACAAAATGACGAAGTTTTCGCGACGTGGCCGTAAGGAGAACTGTAGTTAATCGAAAAACTTAGCCTCAGTACTCACAAGGAAAACAGAGAGAGAGAGAGAGAAGTAAAAACAATTGTGTCGATCGGGGAAAGAAGCAATGCAAATTAACTCAATAAATGGTCTCCGCGCGCGAATTTGATTCGCGAATCTTAAATTATGCCGCGACCGGCACGGCACGACGTCTCACCTTGACATTTATTAATCGGATGTGTCTTTTTTTAGTTCCTTGCGCGACAAAAACACATCAGTTTTAAGTGATTCGCCGCGCGCTCGCGGCACCAAGAGAAACAATTGCCGATTCGGCGAGGTCGAGCGAAATTAGAAAGAGTATAAATCGCGCGCCACACTTTTTCGCGCTTACTTCAGATAGTCAGTCGCTAAACGGTTTATACACATTTTTCCCATTGAGGTCGCACTGCTCCACGCTGTCAAAAAGACACAGCTGATGCGTTCGCGCAATAACCGGTTATGGCTGAAGCCGATGTGACAATATATGAGACTTCCGATGTCAACGGAAGATGTCAACAAGTGCAACGGAAGATTCAGGACAAACGTAGGTGAACTTTTATTACATTCTTATCTATCAGATAAGAGTACAATAAAGGACCGATACTTGTATCGTGTACCGTCACTTTGGCTCGTGAAATAACCGCAGCAGTGACTCAGTGGCGAAACAACCAGGAGCACTGCGACTTCACTCGGAAAAATTTCAAAAAACTATTTAGCAGCTGAATAACACGGATAAACTTACTCTCTTAAGGTGAATCAGTGAATAGTCACTAATATCAGTTATAAGTATAGTACTGAGCAGTTTAAGTGCTGTACTTATAGCTGCAAATTTGTGTATTTACTGTTTTCAATGATGTTTCACTGATTCACTTTAAGAGAGTACGATTCTCTCGATCGACAGTTACACAATTTTCGACTTTATGCATGTATACGAATAAGATTGAAACCATTATAATTTAAAAGCCATTTATAACTTGCTATTACAATTTAAAGATCATTTAAAAGCCATTTATAACTTGCTATTATAATTTAAAGATCATTTAAAAGCCATTTATAACTTG